GGATCGGGCAGTGTTTCGTTCTGCTGTGCATGGGGTCGCTATGAGTCGGAAACGACTCGACGGCACTTAACAACAACAACAACCGTCTTTCTCCCCTACTAGAATGTTAAGCTCCACTATGGTATAAATTTTTGTCTATTTTGTATGCTGTCATTTCCCCAAAACCAAAAACAGTGGTTGGCATGTAGGTGGCACTTAATACAAATGAATGAATGCATGATCCTTATGGCAACCTTGTGAACATATGGTTTCACTAATTCCACTTTTACCCTGCCAGGCCCTGTACCACATGTGGGGAATACAGAGGTGATGTGAGCTACAAGGCCCCTCCTCTCATGGAGTTCTTGAAGTAGGCAGAAAATAAGCAAACACACATATGTATGTAATAGTAACAAACTGGTGAGGCTATGAATGAAAAGTACAAAGTACTCCAAACCAGATGCTTTCCACATGTCACCTGTTTCTTCTCACAATGGCATCCTGAGGTAGGAGTTAGTGAGGGAATCAAAACTCAGAGACATACATTCTGAAATCTCCAATTCAAACCTGCCTCACTCCAAACCCCATGGTCACTTAGCGCCCCTTACATTTGGTGCCTAGAGAGGAAGTTAACATTTATACTCTTGAGTTGCAAACCAAAAGGCAATTGGAAGTTTGAGGGGGGTTACACTCCCCCACAAAGAAAATGTCCTCTGTTGGGGTCTTCAATGTGTATACTTATACCAAGCCCAGACATTGGAACCCCTTTCTTTGATAAAGGATATTGCCAGGATTTTGGGATGAGACTTAGGTGAGGACATGGATTGGGTGGAGTTCACGCTACCAGGGAAGGAAAATCTGAGACTTCAGTTCACATTTGAAGCCTAAAAGGAGTTCCTATCTCTTCCCTCAGCTCTTGATGTTGTTCTCTTCCCCTCTTCTCCCAACATACATATAGTTGGAGGTTTTTGCAGAAAGAGGGGAGAACTGAGAGACCTTGGGATCCACACTTACTCGTTATCATTTGAGGCAGGTTCAGACAGCTGGTGGAAGTCATCAAATGCCAACTGCTAACCAGGGTGGTAGCTCATGGTTACAACCTCCTGTAATAACTCTCAATTATCCAAAATTCCTCAGAGGAGAGGCTCTGTGCTAGACCGTGCACATGCACTATGTCTTGTGAAGGATGTCCCTGTCACCATCCCCATTTTACAGACCAGCACACCGGAGACTCCAAGTAGTTAAATCACTTGCTCAAATAGCTCATTTCACTGAAACATCATGATTAACTGCGTTTCATGCTCACATGGCTGGAGTCTGGGAAGGCTTCTAAACAGTAGGTAGCAGGACTGACTGATGCTCTGTTTTCTGATCCAGGAATACCCATACTCAGCCTTACAGACAAGGAAATCAGGTCTAGCCTGGCACTTTTGAAAACAATGGTAAAAGACACTACCAGAGCAAATGACTTTGTATTTGCTAGCATTGTAAAGTGTGTGGGGGTGGGGAGGAGAGAAAGCTCTTGTGAGGCTACACACCCAGACCCCGTGCTAAATTCTCTAACAAGCACTATATTACTGAAGCAAAATGACTACATCAGAAAGAATTACTGAAGGATAGTAAATTCCCTATGATCGCACAGTAGCGAAGCCAGGATGAAACCTACGCCAAAGGACAGGCATATTGTCTGGATATCCTAAGCCAACTACTGGGAGCCTCTAAACGTAAATGATTGAGCTCTTGCATTGATCCCATCCCCAGCTCTACGCTCCCGCACAGACCAGGTTTCCGAGAGAACAGAGAGCGCGTGAGCAAAGCAGACAGTGACTAGTATGAAAAGCGCGCTATCAGGAATCGGGTTCCCTGCCCCTGAGCCCCAGCAGCCGTCGCCCAGCAAAGGCGGAACCGCCACGTAACAGCAGCGCGTTGAAGGGTCACAACGGGTACAGATGCTTGCCACGAGACCAAGAACACAAACCAGGCGCGCATGCGGTAATGGCCAGCCCCACAAGGCGCCGCGCTCGCTTTGTGGGCAGACACAGCCCCTTCCTTCCGGTGAGCCCTGGGCACCGCCATGGCAAACCCGGAATAGAAAGAAATAAGGCAACTTAGGCGACTGGGGCGTCGCCATTACAGATCAGGTCCGGAAGAAGAGGCAGGGCGCCGCCATGACGTGCTGAGCTTGAAAGGAACGAGGCTGCTTGCCCACTCTCTGACCGGAAAAAAACGAAGCAGGTCGGATTGGGCGCCGCCATGATAACCTGATACCGGAAAAGGCGGGTCGCTCCTCCCTGACTGATCCCACACCATTACCTGCTTCAAGATGTGAGTATTGGGAGTGCCCACTCGTACCTGCGCCGCGTTCCTTCTCTTCCCCAGGGGCTGGACGTTATCATGGACACGCGGGAAAAAACACTGACCTTCTTGTCCCCTTGAAGATCTCTCAAGCATTCATCTCGTCCCTCATAAGCCCCACCCCTCTGGGTTTCCAGGCTCCGCCCCTTGTACCTAAGCTCCACCCTCCGGACCCCAGATCTGGCCTAGGCCCTTCACAGTGCACCTCCAGGGCTCTAGGCGTGTGTCAAGACCTCTAAAACTCCTGGATCCGCCCTAGAACCCTTAATTCCTCCTCAAGGATAAGGAGATTTATACCTTTTGACTCCTGAATCTGCCAGGACCATAGACTTCACCTCTAGAGCACACAAACTTGTTCCTAGACCCCTGAGATCCCACCCTGGATTCTCAGACTTTGAACCCCAAGAACCCTAAGAGCTTCCCACCTCTACTCCAGAGCCCCAACCTCACTCATGGCTGCCAGATCATGCCCCTGGGATCCTGAGATAATATAACCAAGACCCCCACACCCACCCCAGGGCCTCAGGTGCTGGCCTCAGGCCTCATTTCTGATTTGCTGGCCAAAAAACCCTTCCCCAAGATCCTATATCTGACCTCTTGGACCCTAGTCCTCACTTCCAGGACCTCCAAACCCATTTGGTATTTTCAGAGCCTCTTCCTAAAACTTCAGGTCTTACTTTTAGGGCCCTAGGCCTTCTCTCCATGACCTCCATATGTACTCTGAGATGCTCCTGACATCATCTTGGATTCAAGACCCTTCTTCATGAACCCCAAGGCCTGCCTTAGAACAACCAAACCTAGTTTTAGGGTCTCCATTATCTCCTCAGGAGTCACCAGCCTACTCCATGACCCCCAGGGCTCAAGCCTCACCTTTACTCCTCTTTGGCCACATTCCAGGATCTTCAGATTTCCAAATTGGCCCAGGACCCCTAGTCGTATCTCAGACCCACATCAAGACTCTTTCTTCCCTCTCCCTAGAATGATCCTCAGCCTTTTCTGTCCCACAGGCAGGCTGCTCTAGAAGTCACTGCTCGCTACTGTGGCCAGGAGCTAGAGCAGTATGGCCAGTGTGTGGCAGCCAAGCCTGAGTCATGGCAGCGGGACTGCCACCACCTCAAAATGAGCATTGCTCGCTGCACATCCTCACAGTGAGTAGGGTACAGGGTGGGGATGGGCAGTGGAGTGGGGTCTTCCAGGTTCTGAAACAACCTTCCCCCACAGCCCAATCATCCGCCAGATCCGCCAGGTCTGTGCTGAGCCTTTCCTGGCCTTTGAGGAATGTCTGCGACAGAATGAGGCAGCTGTGGGCAATTGTGCAGAGCATATACACCGCTTCCTGCAGTGTGCTGAGCAGGTACAGCCTCCACGTCCACCCACAACTGTGGAGGTAAGAGGGGGCTCACTTATTCATCCATTTCCCCCCATCCTCCCACTCCACTACCTTGCTTTGCCCCCTTCATCCTTAGCCCCTTCACCCTGCAGTCAGGTCTCTACTGTACATCCAGAACATGATCATCTCTTGCCATGCCCAAGTACATACCACCACCCTCCACCAGGATATGTGCTTCAGCTCACTCACTCGTCTCCCAGATTACCCTCTTGTCTTAGTAACCAGAACAAATAGTTAAGAACTGAAATCTAATCATGTTGCATCTTTGCTTAAAGCTCTCTGGTGATTTCCCATTGACACTTATGGGAAAATTCCTGGTCCTTCTTGCATGGTCTGCCTATGCTGACTCATCTGCCTCCTCCCTTACACACACACACACACACACACGTATGTGTGCTCTCTCTTCCTTTCTCACTGCCCCTTAGCTATACTGGCTCGTGGCTGAGTGGGAAGCTGGAGAAGGAAAGCAAAAAAGTCTTACTCTAGTGTATATAGTATATAAACATGTATATCTATGATATTAAAATTTCATGGATGGGGGAAATTAGGAAAAAAGACTCCTTAAGAGGAGTAATACTGAAAAAAAGATTGAGAAACACTGGTTTAAACCTCCCCCACTGGACTGTGAGCTCAAAAGGCAGAGATCACAGTGTTGTGAAATAAAATATGTATGAACTGCTGTTTGGAAAATGAATTTGCTCTGTAAACTTTCACCCAAACACAGAAAAAATTCTTAAAAATAAAATTTAAAAAACAAAAAGAAAGACTGCGGGTCACATCTTTCTCCAAACAAACAAACAAATAAAAAAAAAAAACAACCAAACCCATTGCTGTTGAGTCAGTTCCTCCCCGCTTTAAATTCTCTCTAACCTGCCTCTCTCTTCAGCCCCATCCTCTTTCATCACCAGACCAGCTTTCTCCGAAGCCTCCTTGTACTAACTTACCCTTTTCAGTATGTTCTCTGTGAAGTTCCCAGAGTGAACTCAGAGGAAATCTGACCATGTATTGCTCCTACTAAAAACCTTTCTGCAGGGCTCCTCCCACAGGACCCTGCAGAAGGCTGGTCCCACCTCTCCCCAATTCCACTTCAAGCTCTAGGTTCCAGCCTAGAATAGTTACTCAAGTGCTTGTCTTTCCTATTTCAAGGACTTTGTCCATCTATTTCCCTCTGCCTGGACTACCCTCCCTAATCCATCTCCTTGCTAATTGCTATTCTAGTTTAGATGTCACCTTCCTCACCTTCCTCAGAAAACCTCACATTATACCCCAAATCCTTTCCCAGGCTTCCAAGGTTCCTGTATCCTGTATCCAGGGTACACTCCCTGTATAACTGCTTCCTTGTCCATTGCCTGCTTTGTGGGACTTCTTGGCTAACAATTAGGGAAACACCCTTCTAACCAGACCCTATTGTTATTGGTTCATTTAAAAGGCAGGGATAAGTGAAAGATTCAGACTTCAAAAACAGATACTAGCTGGAAGGATTTTTAATTCTCAGGAAACATTCAGTGATGATTGCATATTGTCTGTGCTAGTTTCTCAGTCATCTGTTGATGAAATTTCGTTCAAGTTTCTTGAGCAGTAAAGATTCTGCCCTCCCATCTCACGGCCGGTTGCTCCTTCCCTCCTTGGGCAAGCAACCAGCCTTGACTTGCTCTTCCTGTGGCCACCCCGACCCTGCACAGTCCACTTTCCCCCACAGTCAAATGAGCTTTTAAAAACACAGATTAGGTCACATCCCATCTCTCCCCATTAAAACCCTCTCATGGCTCCCTGTGACTCAACATCGAGCTCCTCCCTCCTGTCCGTGTCCTTCCTGATGATAGTATTCCAGTTACAGCTTTTCCTCCCTAATTTGGGACACTGAGATTTGGGCCTCCTCTAGTCTCTGTCCTACAAAATAGCAAACAAACATTCTTATATCATAAAACACAATAAAAAGACCTTGTGGAACAGCTCATGTTTTTGTAGCTCATGAGGTCTTGCACATATCCCCCAAGCTCCCAAATTTCTGCTCCTTACAATAGTCTAGAATTTATTATCAGTTGACATAGTTTTGTTCATTTGCTGTCTGTCCTTCCCTACTTGGATGGAAGCTCCCTAGAATCAGGGAGTTTGCTTGTTGTGTCCACTGCTGGGTCCCCAGGGCCTATTACATTGCCAGGCACACAGCAGGTACTCAGGAAACATAGTGGAATGACAGTTCACCGCAGATGACTTTTTCACGTGGCAGGAGGCCAAAGCTGTCACCTGACACTCTTGCTTCAGACTGTGGGTTCTGCAAGGGCAGCCGCTGCTGTGTCCACAGTCTTCCAGGCAGTGATCTCAGGGCCGGGCACAGAAGAGGTACCAGCAGATGTTGATGTGTTTTCTCCACAGGCACAGCCACTTCCTGCCTCCTGAGGACTCTGTTGGCTGCAGGAAAGCTGGATATGAGTAACTGACCAAACTTGATGCCCTTGTCTGCACACATGGTCATGATGGCCTAGTGGAGTCCTGGGTACATCTGGGCACTATGCGTGGGAATTCTGTCTCTGGAAATCAGGACTCCCAATAAATATTTTGTGTACTGCCTTTGATTCCTGCATTTATCATCTGAAGGGGCCCTAGGAAAGTTGACTGGGGAGAAACCCTGGTCCCCTGTTTCCCTGCTTCCTTTGATATGCTAATAAGAAGGGCCTGTGAGGGGGCAAGATGCTCCTTCTCTTCACCAGGGTTAAGATGCCCCCCCCCTTCTGTTAACTCTACCAAACAGCCTTTTCCTGTCTCCTGCTGCATCCACGTGAGCAAAGGTCCTTTCTCTCTTCTACTCTAGTATTCACCGAACTTTTGGGGGCTTTGGGGGTAGGCAATAAATAACACCTCTTTCCCTCCTTAGTTCAAAACCAATTAAAAAACAGACATGGGCGTTAGGCACACGGTGGAAATACTGGCTTTATTATTGAAAGCAGCTGGATTGGAGGATGTGGCTTAGAAGTCTACTACACTGGACTTCTGTTCTGTCTTGGCTTGCATTCCTCCAGAACCCAACTCTGAGAATTTGAGTACAGACAGTCTATTTGGGGAGTGATTTCAGAAACACTGGTAGGGTGATGGAAAAGTGAGGCAGAGGAAAGCAGCCAAGAAAAGGTGCACTATCAAGCCAGTTACCACTTGTGGGCACCTGGAGCTCATTTGGAAACTGGGGTGTTCACCCACCAGTTTCTCATTTGTCACTGAGGGCTGTTTTCAGGAGCACTGGCTGTCCACACTTCTTGCTTGCCCCAAGTACAGGCTGGATGTGCTGCTGTCATCAGAAGAGAGCCCTGAACAGAGTAGCAGGGCATCAAGAAAACCACCCTCAGCACCCAGAAGAGAGTGCTGAGTGGTCCTGACAGGCACCAACAGTGGCTGCTGCCGCTTCTTGATGTTTTTCAGGATTACATGCTTTATGGACACAGCTGACTGATCACAGGCTCACCATCAGGAGAAGATGTTAAAGGACAGAGGGCAGATAGGCAGTTATGCATGAGAGAGATCCTGGAGGGCCAGACTGAGTGAGCATGCCCAGGCCCTATACTCAGATTCTTCATTCAGACAAATCACCCTTCCCAACCTCTGGAAATTGGAGTTAACATGTCAGAACTGACAAAACTGACTCATAGAAACCTAAGGCTTGTGCTCTAGCTTGGAAAAATAAGCCTGGCCAATTGGAATATCCCCTGGAGAATGACCTGCAAGACACAGGAAGTTGTTCTTTGGCTTTTAGAGCCAGGATAGAAGTCCTAGTCTGGTTTACAGGAGCCTCAGATACCATGTGGCTGAGATAAGAGGTAGTAGAGAGAGACTGTGATCAGTTCCTGTGATCCCTGAAAAGGCTGACTGGGTTCTGCTGGCTTTCTCTTCCTAGCTTCAGTTTCCTTGGGCTATGGTTTGAACCCTAGATTTTTGTACATTGTTAGCCAAGCCCCTTTGTTTAATCCCCTTTGCTTGAGTTGATGTAAATGTGTTTCTGCTCCATACAACTTAAAGAAGTTTGATTGGAAGAGACTGTAGTCACAAAATGGAGATCAAGACTAATTTGTAATATCTTTGTGGCCTCTGTTCCAGTAGGCCAGACAGCTTCCTCATGGTGGTGTCAGTTCCAAGAGTGAAATGGAAACGTCAAGTACTATTAAGTTTTTATATAATTTTTACCACATTCGATTGATCAAAGCAAGTTCTGAGGCCAATACAGATTAAAGGAGTAGGGAGACAGACTCTCTTCTTGAAAGGAGGAAGTGGAAAGGTTTCATGGCCATACAAAAACAATTGGTCAGTTTTATTTCTCTAGAAAATTCTCACATCATCTCAATTTTCAAATTGCCATAGAGTTGTTTGTAATACCTTCACTTTATCTTTGCAAAATTGTGGATGATGTAGTGATAGCCTTTTTTTTTCATTTCTGACTGATTCTTTGTGCCTTTTTTTTTTCTTGGCCAATCTACTTTTGACTTTGTTCATTCTCTCTATTATATATTTAATAAGTAATGTGATAAACAGAAAAATGATTGAAGTTGTCAAGAATTTCATTTACTTGGCTCCACAATCAATGCCCATGGAAGCAGTGATCAAGAAACCAAATGACATGTTGCATTGGGCAAATCTACTGCAAAAGACCTCTGTAGTAAAGTGTTCAAAGGCAAAGATGTCACTTTAAAGACTAAGGTGCATCTGACATAAGCCATGGTATTTTCAATCACCTCATATGCATACAAAAGCTGTATAATAAAAACCAAACTTACTGCAGTTGTTGTTGTTGTTGTTATGTGCCGTCGAGTCAAACCTGACTCATAGCGACCCCTACTTGGGTTTCTGAGGCAGTATCACTACGGAAGTAGGATTGCCC